ATTTTTCCTTTTATGTTCAGCGTTATTTAGCATTAGGCTAACCGTCATGCATACTGTATCAATTTTCTTGTTTTGTTGTTGTTGTCTATTTACTTTTTAAAGTCGTCTAGACGTATTGGTCAGTGCTAAGAGATAATAAATATTAGTATACTTAATAAGTATATTAGTTAAATGAAGATCATTCATGTTATTAAACTGAAAAATGAACAGATTAAATACTGAAATCAATAATTTGGTGATCAATGTTAATTAACCATATTAATTAATGGATATCAGTCAGTCAGTCATGATGATGTCAAATAAATGACGCTACTCGGATCCTGCATGCGCGTTTCGGAGGCGCAGCACACATTGATGGCACGAGATTCTAAAGTCCTAGCTAAGGAAGCTTGTTGTCCTATTTGGCACAGTGTTCGGACGTTATAAGCTCCAACATGAAGTTTAGAGCGTGGTTTCAGGAGACCAGGAATAAAGTTCCGCGTACTCGAATCGTTTGCCCTAGCGGTGCGAGGTGATAAAAGGACGTGAGAAGAGTTAGTCGGGGAGATAAGAGTGGTATTAGGAAGTGTAGGAAGAATTTGAATGTGACCGACTTGGTCTCGTGTGCTGTTACGGGTATGAGGGCTGGTGTCACTTCCCGGCTGCCCACACCATGGAAGAATTAATGGATATAGAAAGAAGTAAATTCTCAATACAAAATTAATTTTCCCAATGAACAAATTGAATAAAAGATGTAAGAATAAATTTATTCTGTTTCATAATTTTACTTTATATTATTTCATTAAATAAACAATAATGTGTAATTTAAAATCAATAAATGAATAAATCGCAGAAAACTTATTAAAGTGATTGAAGAACGCATAATTGAAAAATCAGTTGGTATTTGGCACTGTGATGAGTTTTTTTTGTTTTAATGAATACAAAGGTCGATTAATACTGTTAAATCGGTTAAAAAATCTAGGTAAACTGAAATTATTCTATATTTTAGTTTTAAATGGGACTAGACTAGTTATAGCAACTATCCTACAAGAAATTTCCATTATAGCTCATTTTGATTAAGCTCTTTTATTAACATACTTAACAATGTGTTATTTTAGAACAGTAATAATTCTCATATTCCTTTGCACTGTTATAATCACTACAGACTCAAGCTAAAATGTTGATTGTTTAAATTGTCATTAGATGTTCATTCTCCCCTCGCCAAGTATGTATGTACTCAAATCCTATTATTAGTCCTTGTTTTGCCTTGCTTGCGTCCTTATGCGATTTAACTATAAATTTGTCTCTGTATTTGCTCGCATACATATATATTCGCCTCTATGCTTCAAATTCGCTTGATGTGTTTGTAGCTTTGTGATCTGCGCTATCTGTCAATAGACTGTAGTTGCTGCTTCTCATTACCTTCTGATTTCAAACACCGTTGGAATTTATGTAATAATGGTTACAAGGGTGATAGATTAACGAAGCAAAGCCACTACATAGTTACTGATCTTCATAATAAACGATCACTTTTCTGTTGGTTTCAAAGAAATATCTATGGTAATAATGACTGATAGTCTATCTTTCAAATCATTCAAATCATCAGCATTGTCCAACCCACTTTGTCCTCGGCCTTACTTTCTAGTTCTATACAATTTTCATTCATTCCTCTCATGTCTGTCTCCATTTCTCGGCGTAATGTGTTCTTTGATCTTCCTTTTTTCCCTTGACCTTGAGGATTTCATGTGAGGGCTTGCCTTGTGACGTAGTTGGGTGATTTTCTTAATGTGTATCCTATCCACTTTCAGTGCTTCTTCCTGATTGCTTCCTCCGCTGGAATCTGGTTTGTTCTGTCCCACAGTAGGTCGTTGCTGATAGTGTCTGATCTAGTTTTTACAAAATTTTACAGGGTTGATATTGTGGATGATTGTTACATTAGTTCATATATCACACTAAAGGATACTTTTCGGAGTTCTTCTCATTGCTTTAAAAAATTTTGTGGAAAATTTCATCATCAATTACAAAGTCTGTATTAACAAATTAGTATGATGGAGTTTTAGGACAATAATTATGGGTTTACTCAGTTTATGTTAATAACGCTAAAGTTTTACTAGTGACGGTAACTTTTGAATTCTTTTTTCGAATTAATTTTTCCCCCAAGTCTTTATCCTTTTACGATTGGTTGCTACTACTAATAGTTTTCTAATTTTCTGTATGCCTCAAGGTTATACTTTTGCTATATCATATATACCGAATTGTAGCATTTCGATTTATTCTGCTTGGTTCTACTTTAATATGTTAGTTTTTCCTATACTTCATCTCCTTCCTATGTTATTGGCAAATTGTTGAAGTGTCATGCGCCAGATGGCGTCATCGAGTTCGCAACAAATCTATACGCATTTAGTATAACTCAATCGTTTCTTAATACTTAAGTATAGCAAACCAAGAGAAAACCCCAATAGGCATGATCTTTTGTACAGAGCAGTCTCTTTTATTGCCATATTGCTAGCCAACGTCTAATCTTATTTAAACACAGTAATAATGATACACATTTTTTCTTATTTATCACCCACTAACTAGTTGTATAATAGGATTATTCACTATGAAAAATTATTGATAGACTGCACAGTAGTCTTAATAGCTACCGAAAATGACCAATCGGCATGTTATGGATGGCAGATAAGAACTTTGCTTTATTCTGTTAGATTATTAGACTTAAAACTCACCCAATGGAAACTTACGATGCATCACAATTAATTAATAGCAACTTTCGGACATCCGAAACTACGGCTACACTTAATGCGTTGATTATGATGTAATAAATCAAATATTTATTAACTACACATCAAAATGTATGTATACTGATTCACTGGACAACATATTCCAGATTTTTTCCGTCTTCATTTATTCTTCTACAACTAAAAACATTTATAGTTGTGCACCATGAATCAGGTGACAATCTAGCATGAAATTCCGGACTGTAGCTGCCATTATAATTCAGAACGTGTTTCGTCCTACTTGGGACATGTTAGCTCTATGTATTTGTATCTAATAGTCGTTCACTCCAAGATTCGAACCTAGTACTTTCCACTTCAAACCCGAAAACGCGCTATCTCTTCACTGTGTATTTTCTCTAAAAAAGCCACAAAATGACTATATCGAGGTGATTTGCACAGAAAACATATATGCCATTTGAGACCGATCAAATTTCAACCAAATTATTATCAATAGGATAATTCAAAAACTCTTACAAATTAAATTAGCATAAAATTATATATTCTACAACAGTATTCGTATTTCCAATAGGCAATAACGTAACCTATGATCTTTGACAAATCACGAGTCAAATTTCACTGGACAAATGAAAACAGATATCCACTGTTTCCTAGTTTTTCAGTGGTTAACATCCAAAATAACAGAATTTCCATTTTATGCATTCGTTCAAAGTTATTTTATCCCACCCTCTGTGGTTTGATGAGTGTTCAATACAGAAGAGTGCTAAGATATAGTAAGTCAATCGTTCAGTACTCACTATTTACATAATAGACCGATCTTAATTAGATTATCAACAAACATTGGACACCTATTTCTTCTTATTATCGAACTCTTTAGTGGTGCTCATCTAAACCCCACTCAGAGTTTAATCTAAGACGCCCAAAACTCAAGGTGAGTGCTTGACCTTTAAACAGTTAAACTGGCATTCAATGATTTACATGTACTACTTTAATCGGTTCGTGATACTGCATGACATTCTTATCTGATATCTGTTTACGGTAAAGATTCATTACAACTTTTGGAAAAATTCACTCACTTCTAAGTATACAATAAAAGACATTTTAAACGTTTTATTTAATGTTTAAAATAGTTCAGTGTTGGTTTTATTGTTTTTAAAAGTTCGAACTACCCGGTTGTTTATCATTCAGAGATGAATTATTGATCACTCTTTGTTGGTATATGTTTACTCTATTTGGATACCCATTTGTCACAAGTTATTTGGAATAGCCCCAACAAGTTAAGGCTTACTTTTGTTCAGTGGCTAAATGGATAGTACGCTGACATCTAATAATAATTTAGTATATATATAATGATGTGAAAATCGAGGCTAGGATGCAAATATGCCCAAGTGATGAGTATCAGTTAGGACGAAACGCGGATCCAGGATTTGGCTGTTTATCCATTTTGCAAAGTATAATATTGGTTACGTTGTTTAATTTGATACTGAAGGATTCAGATGGTTTGGTAAAACAAAAAAACGAACGCAACATATATAATCGGCATTTATAACGTGGTAATTTTCAAGAAACTATCAAATTCATAATACATTTTAATAGTAGATAACTTCAATTCAATGAAGTCAGAAGTTGGAGTATGAATGTTAGTAGTACAGTTTGTCATATTTCATTTCATTACAATTTTGAATAGTTTAGATTAACTCTTTCTTGTTCTATAAGTTGTTTTATTGTAAACACATGTTGAGAGCCAATTAAGAATACCATTTAAATCACAGTCTATAAATCAACATACTTTAATCCATTCATTTGAATTACAAAAGACTAAATTGCATTGAAGAGGCAGGTCGTTTTCGAACCATGACTTAGTAATACCTGCATTTCGTTTTATTGATCACAAAAATGTATATTTCATTCATTCAGCCCATATGGCATATGATTGGTCAAAGAATATAGACAGCATATCCAGTTAACCATCTGTTTATATTGTAATATATACTTCTACCTTCTGCCCTTTTATTAATAAACACTTTCTTTTGTCTGTATTTAATTCTCTACGGAATAACGGATTTATTGAATGCGAGTGTATGATATCAACTAGCAACCTTATAGCATAAATGAATTTACTTGCATCCTGATTTTCTATTCCAATTCTTATCGTGGATTAAATTCAGAATTCATTACTTGAAAGGAATGAAATGTCATGACATTTACAATAGAAAGTTACATTAATTAAATAGTGGAAACAAAATTTTAAAAAAATGAGAAAGATCAAAGAGTTTCTTGATAGTGTTAATTAATTCTGTAAGAACAAAGACGGAACATTTTTGTTTTGCAAGCCTTAAGTAAATGTTCAATTTGATTAAATGTTGGAAAACGGTTAGATTCATCGCAAGCAATTTGAACATGCTTTTCACATTTGATAGAAATCAGCTCATCTGTTTAATAATGAAGATAACAATCAATAAAGAATGCAAAATAGATACGTATATGTTTCATAAGTGACTTTCTTGGTTGAGATGTTGTCAAATAGGCTGTATTCACCCACAAATGTTAGTCTCTTCAGATTTCAGTTATCTAAGTTGTTAATAAGAAGTAAATATTAATTAGTGTAGACACTCAAGTCCTACACAATGTTAAGACGTCTTGGATAGCTAAGTGATAACAGTTCATTCTATGACATTTGGGGGAAATGGGTCCAAGTCCATGATAAAGTGTATGTTAACTTAAAATTTCAAATGCACCTTGTAAATAAGTTGTGCCTGCTGTGAAACCTAGGTTAGGTTGATTTTCTTCAATCATCCAACCTCAACTAATGAAGAAGAGCCAATATCTCATGGTAAACAGTTATCTCAATATAACAGTAATCAAGTACTAAATGCATTATGAAGTTAACTTATTTAGAATTCTCAAATTTAAATATCGTTTTTCAGTTTCATATGGGGGACGTAAAGCGGAGTTTCATCACGAAAAGATATAAATGAAAGAATCATTTTGCACTAAGGAATACCGGAATGTTTTTCAAATCGGATATGACTAGAAATCTTAAGAATAACCTTATTTTGAGTTGATCTATGAATGATCTTCTCCAATAGATAGTTGATCCAAGGACATGTTAACGAGAACCTGGCGTGAGAACCACCTCAATGTGTATCTATCAGAATGTTTCCTTCTATGGAGTACGTTATGTTGGCCAAACATAACTTGCCTTTTCTAAATAGATATCTGAATCCTATTTAGCATAGTTATCTAAAGACGAATTCAAATAACTCAATCGTTGTGTTGTTGAAAGTTTGGTCAACTCCGGTCATCTGTCTCTATACAAACTTCAAAAATTATCGATAAAACCAAACGGCTTAGGAAAATCTGTAAAGAATTAGTGAATAGCTGAGGTTCTAACAATTCATCAATCTAACCTTGATGTCTGTGTTTAGATGTTATGTGTACAGTACTTCGTTCTTCCGTGGTCCCAGCGCCCAGTCGTTAGATTTCAATAATTCTGTAAGATTATCTGACATGTATATTCATCACTTCTTTACACTTATCAAATGAGCAGTTATCTTAAGTATACCCTGCAAATTGTTAGTTCCGCTTCGTCCCCCCCCTATTACCCTACACTTATCGGGCAACTTATACACAATACATGGAGACATATAATTAAGTGGTGAGTGAGTGGTGACTGATGTCATGTACTTCCAGCCCTTTAAATGTTGATCGAGTTCCGTCGATCAGGTTGAAATGTAGCCACTAGTCTAAAAGACAACTTCAAATTTTAGGTGGCTGAGGGTAATCTATAGGAAACCCTGTTCGACTTGAGTTTCGTGCTAGTTGACGCATGTCGGCAAGTGGTACCTCCTATTTTGAGGGAAATTATGTGTTCTGATGGATTAAAACCTGCGTCCTCCAGCTCAACTGACTGAATTGTTACTACTGATCTGTTCAGACCGAAATTGACCTCCTAAAGGGTCTCCTGGTGACTGCTTGTAAGCAACTAATATCTCGACATCATACTTGTGATTTCAAGTCACTAAGGCGAGTAACTAAATTGCACTTAAAAAACTAGACAAATATGACATTGGTCACTACTTAAAATCAATCAATGTTAATATCTTAGGATGTCAGTCGCGGCTCGAATAGCTTAGCAGCAATATATTGGTCTGTAAAACTTAGTGAAATAAGTTCAAATCATACAAGGAGCATCAGTTCCCTTAAGATCGGAGGTGATCCATGCTAACTAGTAAGACAAAAGCTAGGTACAGAGTTTCCTGTTGACTACCACCAACTTCCTAACATCAAATGAGAATATTTTAAATTAATATTTCTCAATTCTTTTATGATTTAACAATTTTCTGCTAAATGCTAATTAACTATAAATACCGCTGTGTAACTTTAACAAATGTAATCATCGAATAGTCAGTTTTCTTCACTGAACTGCCTTTATTAAACTTGATTATGTAACATGTATCATTCATTGTTATAAAATACATTTCATTGAATATAATAATTTTTTATGGAAAAATGATAATGATAATAATAATAATAATAAATTCAATAAACAAAGTTTTTTCTACAATATTCTTTCCATTTGGTTAACATTGGTGTTATCGTTGTCATTATCAGTGTTGTCATCTCATTGTTGTTTCAACCTTCAAAACACCTTCACTGCAACTGAGTTGATCTTACTTTGTAATTCCTTGACAAAATCACTTAATGTTGTTTCATTTTCTTCTGATAAATCCACATGAATCATATCGAATCTTTGAGGTGACTGTGGTCGAATTAAACTTCCTCCATACTACAGAAAGGTAACGAAGCAAAAGACTAAGGAGTAGTGAAAAACGTATATAATGAGAAAAACGTCCAACCGATAAATTCTGATGCTCATCAGTATACATAAGGAGTAAGATTTCATGACTGAGTTTGAAACACTGGGTTAACCAGAAATCGGCTAAATGATAGATGTACGCGACTGAACAAGAATTGGCTTACATTCCCTAGAAGTGAGACATTCATCAATGATGGCCCAAATTTCTTAGGGGAGGATATATATATATATATATATATATATATATATATATATATGTGGGTATACATACATGACTGCTCGGTTGTTCAATAAAATTCCTTTCTCAATGTTGGTTGCTTTACTTGACTAATCAGTTAGGCTAGTACATAGGAGGATTCAGTATCAGTTTCGACATCAGATGTCGCATGTCTCAACAAAACGTTTTGTCGTTGAGCTGAAAAACGTTATGTTGAAAGTAGATAAAATGGGATGATACTATGTGGCCTTGTGATAGCTACTCATAAGACCAAGTTATTGATACAAGCCATCAACTAAACTGATATTAGAAAACAAGACCCATAGCTATAACAATTAAATATTTGTATCTAGTAAACTTGTACATAAAATGTTTACAAGTAAATAAAATGATTGGTTATTATAGACGATTAGACAAAATCGATTTGTAGGTCACTTATTCTTCAAAGGATAAGTGCCTAACTGTTAAGTTTAATGCTTGCCCTATCATATATTATCGTAACTTCATTAGGCTTACATACTACCGTTCATTTGATTTGAGTTTGTCTAATGTGGTAAACCAAATACTTACAATTTAAACTCTTGTGAATTTAGTACTCTTAGTTTTTGTACAGACTAGAGAATAGGACTACAACAATAGTATAAATTCTAATAGTAGCCATCTCAAGGGGATCGTGAGAATTTTTAACGGACAAAAATTATTATGTTGTTATAGAAACTATAAGATTTTCTAGAATTGGTCATTAAAGTGACTAATTAACCGAGTTCTAAGATTTACTGGACGTTCTCAAAAGGATTGACTGTTTAAAGGTATATGAAACCTTTCTCAGATTCACAGAAGTTTTTAAAACATTTATTATTCTGATTTCTTAAAAAAAACTCTCCGTAGTGACTGTTCAATATTACTGTGTTATATCCCGATAAGAATAATGAGTGGTAACTTTTGGGATCCATTTATGGACCAATACTATGTGTATATTTTTACCGTATAATTGTTAAATGACTAAACTATCCATACTCATGTCCCTCTTGTTATGAGCTTTATCTTGACCTATAGACTATTATTATACAATTTACCATTCTTGAGTTATACCCTGTCCATCAATTACTATCTCTTTCATTCACAGCCACATTTGGCTAAATCTTGTACAAATGTTGTTTCCTATTTTATGGTACGGTGTGGTCTGTCTGGTTGGTATATAAGCTCAGTATGTTTGAAATACATGATTCATATCACAGAGGCTGAGATTGGTGTTCTGGACTTAACTGGCTGGGCTAGGCAGGAAGCAGGACTGATAAGTACTCTAGATTACTCGCACTGGTTTTATGTGTCATTGGTCCGATCGATAATTTACTGTTATCTAGTATTATCACGTTATATATTAACAGGGCACACAGGTCACAAGTTATAACACTGTAACAAGTTAGAAATTATTTCTAGTTAAAGCAATAACAAAAGTTACATGATACTACTTTGAACGTAACAGTTGCTTATAGAAAGGTCGACAAAAGTAATAGATCAACTGTTCTTTTCTATACATTCTCTTTGATATTCAATTACAAGAAATGAAATGAAAAATCCCATATATCATTCTATTCTAGAATGACTGCAATTTGTATAATATAATAACCAATAAACAATTTCAATAACGTTTTCCATGAGAGATAAATGATGAATGTGGATCTATTTCATGTACGAGTCCTCACAGCTAAATAGACTGAAATGTAAACAAAACACCCGATTCAAAAATCCCTAGTTTTCATTATTTCTTTAACTGATAATAATCTGTCATGAAAATCACCTTTAAAATTATTCATTAAATAGATTCATGGAGATTATTAAGTTAATTATTATAATTAATACTTGAACAACAAACATATTAATTACGGCGAATTTGTTACTTGTCAGTAGTAACTGAATCCCTAATATTAAAAATTATGTCAATGTAAAGTATCAACAGAGAATGAACTACATTCAATTTTATTATAATGTTATTTGTTAGTGTTGAAGTTTGAGTAGGTTTTATGAAGTCATAATTTACATCAATTACTGACCTTGATAAGATAATCATTGACAAATAAGTGGCAGTGGATAGCTGTTTCATCCTAGCCTGGGAATACCCAACCCATCCACAACCCTACCAACGATAGGACCGAGAACCTTTCGATTTTTCAGTCGCTCCATACGTCGATGAATAAGTTATCCAGTGTTTCATAATTCTGAATGGTTGTCTGACTAAGATTAGTCCGTAATGTAAACTGTAAGGTTATTGTTTCTATTCATACTTTTCTAACTAAATAGGCTCAAATACTCCAAAGATTATTAAGTTATCAACCGTTTAATAATCAATGGATATAAAAAATAATTACGAGGATTGATAAAGTTATTTGAAAGAATTTATTGTAGTGTAGTTTATTTCAGTTTTATAGAAGTAAGACTGTCTGATTCTTAAACTCAGATGAATAATAAAGAAAAGGTTTTATTGTTTATTTTAATATCCGTGGTTCTAAACTTGGGAACGTGAACTACTGTAATTCCCATGACGCGAGGAGAAAACTCAAAGATTGGTGCAATGAAGACTTATTGACTTTTCAAAAACACGACGTTGTCAAACCAAACACACACTTGATGGCTAGTTAATTAATGTTATATAAACAAAAAGATACACAGTGTTACTGTAAAATACATAGGAAATTTACACAGAATAATACAAAGAGTGTAATTGTCACACTAGGTAAAAGTTTACACCGGACATACTAAACAAAATTCTCACTCGATCGATACGAAACATATAGACCTGAAATGATGTTACACTAGAAACTACAAACTCCATATCTTACTGATTAAAATGTTACACTGAAAATAAAACGAATGTCAAACTATCACACGGTGAATTTAAACTAATGTCATAAAACTTTATAGTGAGTTAAGGAAAACCCGTAAACCTGACGTCTTATCCAGGTTTATAACTTATTCACTTCAAAGCAAAACACGTTAAGCGTTACTAAAGTGACAGGGAAATACTTGGTGACATCAAAAAAATTAAAGTCAACCTTTTTACGTATTTCAAACACAAGTGAATAAATATAGCGTCCATATAATAAATCGCATAAGTTTTAACAATGTGTGATATGATACATAGGAATCCCTGACGTGATAGTGGATACACACTCCTGAAGTATCCTCCACTAGGACAAAGCAACTGTTGGGTTATTGCAAATTTTCGATTAAAACATAACAAGTCCTAAACTATCACAAATACCAACTATTAAAAGCAGTTTATGAAGAATGTATAAACAAAATATAACAAAGTTGTCTGTGAGAAAACACATCAGTTTCATATATTCGTTGTTTTTAAAGGAGTGGAAAAAATCATGAGGAAACAGGGCGAATAATTCTACCAAATGTATGTTCATACACATTTAGATGAAGATGTTGGCGAGTTCAATCACTAACTGTCATACATATATAGCGACTCACGTGCGATTGAGTTTATTCTCATTTAGCTCAGTTAAGCCCTTTTGCTAACTTATTTAGCGGACAGTCATCCGCACTATAACAATTTATTGTACCCTTATTATTATTATTATACTTGTATGAAATATGCATTCTCGAACATTGTTTACCGCCTACGCATATATTCATTCTACCAACTTCATTATTAACTGCTTAATCTGTTCGCTGACTCATCCATTTCTTTATATATATATATATATATATATATATATATATTTGCACCCATTCACTACTGACCACTCACTACTACTACTGCTACTGCTACAATCATAGTGCGCTTGCTCATCCGTTTCGCCTCTCTGCTGTCTGGTCCGAATTATCTTCTAAATAAACTGTAGTAGCTGCTTCTTTTTACCTTCTGATGTCAAACACCGTTGAAGATTATACGATAACGGTACGACGGTGATTAGTTATCGAAGCACAGCCACTATACATAACTACAATAGTAACAAATTCAACCTTTGAAAAGGCCTTATGAATATGATTTTGAAAAAACAACACAATTTTTAGAAAATTATGAAGTGAAAATCAGATGGTAGATATTCTTTTAGCCTCCACTCAATCTTCTCTAAACAAAACTCCTACACTTTCTAGAATCCAATTCATAGATAGAAATTTGAGTTCATATGCTTATTTAATGACTCCATGTCAGTTATATATATAATTTGAAAAAACCATTAAGAACCAAGACCAGTTGTTTCATCCATGGTTATAAAATCGAAACAATGTATAACCATGACACTAAGTAAGAATATACTCAGGAACGTTTAACCTTGCAGCCGGGCATCAGATGATGTTTACCGTTTTGTAATTTGAAGTGTCGTTCACATCTAGGAAAGACTGAAATTAGACATTTAGAATCTTGGATACCGAGTTAATGGCAGGAAAGTTGGGTGCTCGCTGCCAGTCCTGAATCCAGTCTTTAGTGGGATAAACTAGTGAGAAGTCTTATATTATAATAAAAGGGTTATCCAGTGCTCCCTGGTTTCTCAGTAGTTGTAGAATTAGGATCGATTAGTGTTGTGAAGTATACAATTACTCAGTATCCTCCCTCCACTTTTCTCCAATTTTCGTTGCTGCTCTTAGTGATGTCAGTTTGGATCGTATAAGCCTATTGACAAAATCACTGAAGTAAACCATATAAATTGTTGATAATATATTTTTCTAAAATACTTTTGTAAACTTTTTTTCAAACTTGTAATGTTTCAAGATGTGCTTAGTGGAAAAATCCTTTCCA